ACCTGCTGAGGTGAACGGTGCTACTGTATCCTCTTATCTATCTGTTAATGGAGACACAGGGGTGATCCATGCTGTGAGGTCATTTGATTATGAACAGTTCAGGAGTTTTAAAGTCTACGTGATGGCCAGAGACAATGGTTCTCCTCCACTCAGCAGTAACGTGACTGTCAGTGTGTTCATATCGGATGTGAATGATAACTCTCCTCAGATTCTCTACCCCACCCTGGAGGGCAGCTCCTTCATGACTGAGCTGGTCCCTAAAGCTGCACATGGAGGCTCTCTGGTCTCCAAAGTCATAGCAGTGGACGCAGACTCTGGACAGAATGCCTGGCTGTCCTATCATATAGTCAAAGCCACTGATCCTGGACTTTTCAGTATTGATCTGCACAGTGGAGAGATCAGAACACAGCGGGACATTTTAGAATCTGACAGCATGAAACAGAACCTGATTGTTGCAGTGAAAGATAACGGACAGCCCTCTCTGTCTGCAACCTGTTCCATGTATTTACTTATTTCTGATAACTTGGCTGAGGTGCCAGAACTGAAAGATATTTCTTACGATGAAAAGAACTCCAAACTGACATCTTATCTGATTATTGCGCTGGTTTCTGTATCTACCTTCTTTCTGACCTTCATCATCATCATCCTCGGTATGAGATTTTGTCGCAGACGAAAGCCCAGACTGTTGTTTGATGGAGCAGTTGCCATCCCCGGAGCTTATCTGCCCCCAAACTACTCAGATGTTGACGGAGCAGGAACCTTACACAGCTCCTATAATTATGACACCTACCTAACAACAGGATCTAGAACAAGTGACTTTAAGTTTGTGTCATCTTACAATGACAACACACTTCCTGCTGACCAGACTCTGAGGAAAAGCTTAAGTGATTTTGTTGAGGCCTTTGGAGAAGTGGATGCATGCTCAGAGGTATGAAGATATTCCTAAACATTTTTGCAGCTATTCTCACTCACCCAATCAGTTCTGTGTTCTTATGGTGCTTTCTCTTCCATGGGTACTCCATATTTCTATTTTAAATGCTATATTAGAAAGTTATTCTCCATAATACAATGCATTTATAGGTATACATCTTTAGAAAGTTATTTTTCTTTTATTTTTTTTGTATAGAAATATACTCATAATACATTAAGTGTGTGATTGTGTGCATGAATGGGTGCATGACAGAATGTGGTGAAAATACTTTGCTTAAGTCCACTGACTTGACAAAGTGCTATATAAATACAAGACATTTACCATTTACTATTTAACTTTTCTGATGTGTACTCGTCAAACTCAGTCACTGCTGTTGTTGGTCACTGGCTCCCTCTGGTCCTGCAAAGATGAATTGGTGTAAATTGATTTATGTATTCTACCTGTATTTTATGTTGATTATTGAATCATAATTTGCATTTGACTTTTAAGGATGGGTGTGTTGGGATTTCTCCTTTTTGTTGTTTCCTTTTCTGTATGATTTTTCTTCCTATTCGTCTTACATCTTTATTGTGTAAACATATCAATTTACTACATTCCTTTTTTTGCATCCGTCAATTTCCTGATAAGCAATTCTTCGATATGATGTTGTAAATTCAAACAAAATCTGTATATTGTTTTTCTTCTACGATTTTTTTCTCGCTTATCCTCAACTTCATAACTTTTAGTCAGTGTTTAGACATTACTTTGTTCTCTCACCATTATCTTTATATAGGGGTAAATATCCACATGTGCTCAATAGCTATTAATAATTTAAAGCAAAAACAATATAAAAGCTAGAGCATTTCGTCTTTTTGGCTTTGTTATAACATTACATAAACTTTGTTGTGCCACTTGTGCCGATATTATTTCAAGCTTTGATTTGAGGTTCTTTTATTCTGTCTTAGTTTGACCTGGGGACTATATATGTTATTTCCACTTTGAAAAGATGCTCTTACTGTAGAAGGATATACTTTGTTTTATGATTGGTTCTTTGGACCTGTTTTCATAGTATTTTTTTACTGGGAAAGAATGTACTCCCAGTGATGATCATGACAAAATATTTTCGTTCTGGATTCTTTCAGCAAGTTATTTGTTCTGATATACAAGAACTAGTTAAAATGTCAAAATACTAGGAGAGAAATCATAGCTAGTAGAAAAATACTATTAAGAAAACAGGTTAGTGTAGAGACATGGCACAGATACACAGCCCTCTTAGCAGTATTAAATGTTATATGATGGTAATATCCTGGAAGAAAGACACATGAAGTGATTAGCTATAATACTACTGTTTATTATGCAAGCAAATCCCCACTGTTAATTCATGGTCTTCTAGGAGGAGCAGATCCTATAAAGTCAGTGATGGTTGCAATCAGATAGGTTTCGTTTGATAGAACAATTTTAATCAGTCTGTCAGTAAGGTTTAATTATATCAGCTCTATTAAGTGCCTGGAGATTATGTGTTATTAGCGCAATAAGAGTTAACTCAATTGAATTAGGAAGAGAAAGGTCACTGAAAATGATTATTTGTACTCTTTAAAAAAGAGTTGGCAGGACTCAAAATATTAGTCAACAATCCTCAACAAATGATAAGTTTAGGACTTTACCTTAATCATTTAACTTTTGCTTTAAATTTATTACAACTTTGAATTCTGTATTATTGTAATTTGAAATGTTGATTTGTTTCAACCTAAGTGAAGGTAGTGGTGATTTAGAGAAGCTGATGAATACACTTCCAATCGTAAACCTCTAACTAAAGAATCATACTTTTTATTTAGAGCTTATTGTCCCTTAGTTTGGAAATTTATAATTACATTTTCACCTAATCCCTTTTTGCTTCAGTTACAGTAACAGTTACAAACCTCTGTTCCTGGTTGCTCCAAAAAGCAAATGCTGTGCTCAATAGGTCACCCGATGGCAGTTCCAATCCCTGATGACTGGTAACTTAACAATGGGCCTACTAAGAATGGAAAAAAAAATGCTTTCTTGTGATTGTTGATAACATATAATACTATTTTGATTGTATCTATTTAGCGGCACTTTTTATTGTTTAAGTTAAAATAACAGTGAGCCTTCAACTCAAATACCAACTGTAAAACTTTTTGTACCTGCATTTCACACCAAAAGTGCAAAAATTAGCTTAACTTTAATTTAAAATGACCAATAAGTTAAAGGTATATGTCCTGGCAAATCACTTGATAAAGTTATATATTATAACTGCCTTTGTTTGCTGAACTGACTGAAATAATTTCCCCTATATTTAACACTTAGGTTTTTGGGTTTACACAACAACAAAAAAACTATTCTTAGCTAAAAAAAAAGTTGTTTTTTACAGTGTAATGAGGTCTACATAAACTGAATTTAGTCACTATTAGTTTGCAAAGCTTTTTAACAAATATTTATGACTTATCGCTATTCTTAAACAATCTTCGGTTTCTTAAAAATTTCACCCGCTTATTTCATGTTGAGCGGTGATATATTTTTCTCAGGGAATGGCTTGACAGATTCAGATCATATCCTCATCACAGTTTGGAATGTAATATAAGAGGTTAATATTTCTACTCCTGGTTTTCACATGTGTTTTCAAGTACAAGTTTCATTATGTTTTTCTTATTAAGTTGTGTTCCCTCCTGGTTACTTTATTTGTTTTATTTGATTGTATTGCCTGATATTGGATCTTCACAGAATTTAGAATATTCTGATATAATTTCTTCTTAGTCATATTTGGTAAAGTGTTGTTGTAGCTTTAACAGTTGATACAGTCCATTCAATCATTACTTATCCTGCTGCACTTTTTTTCACACTTACTTTTTTAAGCTTTGTTTCAAATGCTATTGAATTAATTTCTTTCTACTAATTTCTGAACAACATCCTCTATTGTGACAATGCGAAAGACACTTTTTTAAGATTGTGTCAAACTTATCAAAAATAGAAAAGAAATTACAGTAGTTTTGTATTTAAGTATGAATAGAGCCTGTTGTTTAGCAGCACTATACTGTGGGATTGTTTTTAGCAGGAAGGACTAAAAAATTATATAGGATCAACGAAAAAAAGGGAATGCAGACATGCCTAGAGATATCCTGGATTAAAGCCTGCTACAAATCTTTATCAACTCAGACTCAGGCAGTGGTTCCATTTTCAATTGGAAAAACTAGAGCACACAGCCAAAATATTAAACAAGTAGCTGAAAACCCATGAATGCTGTGAAGTAGATAAACCAGGATCTGGACTGAATTTGATTAAAGTTTTGAAAATAGCTCGGCACACTTTTCTCAACCTGATAGAGCTTGAAATGTGCTTAATTAGGGAAACATTTAAAAGTTGGATTTACTGAGGTTGCATCTGTATAACTTACATATGCAACATATAGTGTAAAAAAATATATTTTTATGGTTGCTAACAAAAATTAAGAACATGCATAACTGTAAATAAAACATATGATCATTTTATTTTCAAATGAGTTTAACAATTAAAGTATTATGTTTTTATCATGTTTGACTTATTACACAAATATTTGCACCCTTGTGTATCCTTTTCTATGTTAAGGGTTTACTCCAGCAATGAAAAGAAAAAAAAAAAGTGTTATTTGAAATACAGTCAGGTGAGAACTGAAATATGAATCCAATATGTTTTATATATGCATTCTTATTTTCAAAAGTGTAAAAAGAGTTATCCAAAATTCTAATTATATTTATGATTAAGTGAGAAGGATTTTCTTGACAGCATGAAAACATAAATGTCTTAATCAAATTTAATTGTTAATACCCCGATTGCTTGAAAAACAAAACTGTATATTAGGCTAAATTAAGTTGTTAAAAAAAAGCAAAACTAACTTTATATTTTGATCGTTATGTGCAAAACTTCAAATGATAAAATTTTTGGAAAGCTCAATTTTTTTTATATGAATAGAAAGTCATATGTATTATAAAGAGATGAAGATAACATAAATTTACATTTTTCTATTATTTGCTGAGATTTTTCTTAAACTGGACCCCACGGTGGCGCTATATAACAGGCTTGAGAAATGTAGATTCCTTAGTCGTTTTGCGCTTATTCTATTCAAACTATGCTCCTGTCTTGTCGAGGACAGTCACGGATTTCTAAAGGTGGTGAAGGATTTTGAGCTTAAATTGTTCTTTATATGATTCGTTCTTCGTGCGGATTTAAATTCGTCAGCAATGATGAAGTCTATATTCGCCTTTGTTCTCTCTTGGGGATTTATTATATTCATTCTTTGGATCAACGTCGCCCATGGAGATATGAGCTATTCTTTCCAGGAGGAAATGAAACGCGGATCAGTTATTGGAAATATCGCCAAGGATCTCGGGCTGCAAATAGATGCGCTGTCCAAAAGAAGAGCCCGCATTGATACCGAGGAGACGGATAAACGTTACTGTGACATAAACCTGAAGAATGGGGAGCTGATCGTGGCCGAAAGAATCGACCGAGAGGAGCTGTGTGATGAAAAAGCTTCATGCATCTTAAAACAAGAGCTAGTTTTGGAAAACCCACTCGAGCTGCATCGGATCAGCCTCCATGTTCAAGATATTAATGATAACTCCCCGCAGTTCAACGAAAAGATGATCCTTATTGAAATTCGAGAGTCGACAGACAGGGGAGCTCGCTTTATTATCGAGGAGGCGCACGATGAGGATGTAGGACAAAATTCAGTTCAGCAGTACAGCCTCGAAAAGAATGAAAATTTCATTTTAGCCGCTAAAGGAAACACTGTGGAGCTTGTTTTAGATAAAGAGCTTGATCGTGAAAAACAGAAGGAAATTAATTTACTCCTCACAGCTTTAGATGGTGGATCTCCTCAGAGATCAGGTACAGTGGTCATACATGTAACTGTGCTGGATGCTAATGATAACGCCCCAGTGTTCAGTCAGGCCGTTTATAAAGCCAGTCTGCCTGAAAACTCTCCATTAGATACTGTAGTGGTTACAGTGAGCGCAACTGATGCAGATGAGGGAGTGAATGGAGAAGTCACTTATGATTTTGGACATATTAATGAGGAAGGGAGGAAGAAGTTTGCGATTGATCGTAAATTTGGAAAAATAAGTTTAATTGATGCTGTAGACTATGAGATCACAAAATCATATGAAATCCGCATTAAAGCAAAGGATGGTCTGGGGCTGTCATCTTATGCTAAGGTTATTATTTCTATTACTGATGTGAATGACAACGCCCCTATAGTGAGTCTGAAATCACTGACCAATCCCATACCAGAAGACACCCCAGCTGGTACAGAGGTTGGCATCATTAATGTACAGGACAGAGACTCAGAGAATAATCGACAGGTCCACTGCTCCGTCCAACAAAATGTCCCTTTTAAATTAGTTCCTTCGATCAAAAACTATTATTCTCTGGTGACCACAGGAAACCTGGATCGTGAACTAGTGACTGATTACAATATTACAATTACTGCTACTGATGAGGGCTCTCCACCTCTGTCCTCTTCTAAAACTTTCCAGTTATCTGTAGCTGATATTAACGATAACCCACCTGTGTTTGAGGAACAGTCCTATAGTGCATATATTAATGAAAATAACAAACCTGGCTCCACTTTATGTTCTGTTTCTGCTCGAGACCCAGACTGGAGACAAAACGGTACAGTGGTTTATTCTCTGTTACCTGCTGAGGTGAACGGTGCTTCTGTGTCATCTTATCTATCTGTTAATGGAGACACAGGGGTGATCCATGCTGTGAGGTCATTTGATTATGAACAGTTCAGGAGTTTTAAAGTCTACGTGATGGCCAGAGACAATGGTTCTCCTCCACTCAGCAGTAATGTGACCATCAGTGTATTCATATCGGATGTGAATGACAACTCTCCTCAGATTCTCTACCCCACCCTGGAGGGCAGCTCCTTCATGACTGAGCTGGTCCCTAAAGCTGCACATGGAGGCTCTCTGGTCTCCAAAGTCATAGCAGTGGACGCAGACTCTGGACAGAACGCCTGGCTGTCCTATCATATAGTCAAAGCCACTGATCCTGGACTTTTCAGCATTGATCTGCACAGTGGAGAGATCAGGACACAGCGGGACATTTTAGAATCTGACAGCATGAAACAGAACCTGATTGTTGCAGTGAAAGATAACGGACAGCCCTCTCTGTCTGCCACCTGTTCCATGTATTTACTTATTTCTGATAACTTGGCTGAGGTGCCAGAACTGAAAGATATCTCTTATGATGAAAATAACTCCAAAATGACATCTTATCTGATCATTGCACTGGTTTCTGTGTCCACCTTCTTTCTGACCTTCATCATCATCATCCTTGGTGTGAGGTTTTGTCACAGACGAAAGCCCAGACTGTTGTTTGATGGAGCAGTTGCCATCCCTGGAGCTTATCTGCCCCCAAACTACTCAGATGTTGACGGAACAGGAACCTTACACAGCTCCTATAATTATGACACCTACCTAACAACGGGATCTAGAACCAGTGACTTTAAGTTTGTGTCATCTTACAATGACAGCACGCTTCCTGCTGACCAGACTCTGAGGAAAAGCTTAAGTGATTTTGTTGAGGCCTTTGGAGAACAGGATGCATGCTCAGAGGTATGAAGACATTCCTAAACATTTTAATGCAGCTATCCCCAGTCACCAAATCTGTTCTGTGTTCTTATTGTGCTGTCCTTTCAATTGGTACTCCATCATCTTTCAGTTTCAAACGTTCATTTGAAAGTTATTCTTCATAATAAAATGCATTTATAGCTATAAATGTTTATAAAGTTATTTTCCCTTTTGTCTGTTTTATAGCAATATGCTGGTAAATTGTCCAGTGTGTACTCTAACTCAATTACTGTTGTTGTTGGTCACCAGCTCCTTCTGATCCTGCAAAGATGAATTCGTTTAAATTGATTTTTATTTATTTATTCTATTTTAGTTTGATTATTGATTCATAATTTGTATTTGACTTTTAAATATATTTTGGAGAGGATTTTGCCATTTTGAGGTTTCTTTTATGTATGATATTTTTTTCTTCTTATTGGTCTTACATCTTCATCGTATACACATTATATTAATTTACTATATTTCTTTTATTGCTTCAGTCAATATCCTGATAAACCATTCTTCATTATTATGTTGGAAATCCGAACATCATCTGTATCTTGTGTTTTTTAAGATTTGTTTCCTAGCTTATCTTCAACCTCATAACCTTTTAGTCTGTTTGTTGAAACATTTTTTCTTCAGGCACTCATTTTCATGTTAGTTTAAAAATCCACATGTGCTGAATAGCTCTAAATAATTTTAAATTAAAACAAAATAAAATCTAAAAAATTTAGTTTTTTTGGTCTTATTGTAAAATAATTTAAACTTTGTTGTTTCATTTGTGCCAGATATTATTTCAAGCTTTGATTTGTGGTTCTTTTTATTCTCTCTTAGTTTGATCTGGGGAGTATATATGTAAGTTACAGTTTGAAATGAGGCTGTTATTATAGAAGGATATATTTTGTGATGGTCATCACTGAATATTGCCCATCTGGATACTTTGAACAGGTTATTTCTTCTAACACAAAACAATGTGTTGCAATGTAAAACTAATTGGTAGAGAAATCATAGCTAGTACAAAAATACTATTAAGAAAGCAGGTTATTGTAGAGACATGGCACAGATTAACAGCCCTCTCAGCAGTATTAAATTTTATATGATGGTAATATTCTGGATGAAAGACACATGAACTGATTGGCTGTAATTCTACTGTTTATTATGCAAGCAAATCCCCACTGTTAATTGATAATCATTCAGGAGGAGCAAATCTTATAAGTCACCGACTGGATGCAATCAGATGAGTTTTGTTAGAACCCTTTTAATTATATCAACTCTGTTAAGTGACTGGAGATGATTGTTATTGGTGCTATAAGAGTTAACTTAATTGAATTATGAAGACAGAAGTCAGTGAAAAAGAGTTCTTTCACTATGTACAAGAAAAAAAAAGGAAAGTTGGCAGATCTCGAAATATTAGTCAACAATCCTCAGCAATTTCTAAAGTTTAGAACTATACCGTAATCATTTAAGTTATGGATTTAATTGCACTAAACTTTTAATTCTGAGTTACTGTAACTTGAAATGTGGATTTTTTTTCAGCTTATGTGAAAGTACCAGTGATTTAGAAAAGCTTATGAATAAACTTCATATATTAAACCTCTAACTACAGAATCATACCTTTGGCTCTTACTGTATAAACAAACAGCGGGTGCACAAAGGAGAAAAAGGTGCATGGCGTATACACAGGCGATCCAGATATATACAGTGGATGGTAAAAAATAGAGGAGAGATTTAAGGTGAATTATATATATCTTATGTACAGTAAAGTGGTGGCAGGAACAGTGCAGTTTCTGGTTTGTTTGATAGTGTAAGTTATTGCAGTGTAATTAATCCAGGTTATAGTGCAGTGGCATTGTAAAGTCTAATCACAGCAGGGATAAATGACCTGTGGTAGGACTCATTTTTAGACATGGGGTGTATAAGTCTGTCTCAAAAGGAGCTGCTCAGCTTCTCTACCGTCCGGTGCAGGGGGTGAAAGGTGTTCTCCATGGTGGATGTAAGCTAGGACAAAACCCTCCTATCGGCTACTTTCACCATATAGATCAGAGCGCAGCCCCGGACAGAAGTGACCATTCTCATCAGCTTATTCAGTCTTTCAGTCCCACTCTGCGCTGCCAGGGCCCCAGCAGACGACAGCGTAGAGGAGGGCTGATGCCATCACAGAGTCATAGAAGGTTTTAAGCAGGGGCTTGCTCACTCCAAAGGATCTCAGCCTCCTCAGGAGGTGGAGGTGGATCTGTTCTTCTTGTACAGGGCGTCTGTGTTATGAGTCCAGTCCAGTTTATTATTGACATGAACACACAGGTATTTGAAACTCTCCACAGTTTCTATGTCCTGCCCCTGGATGTTCACGGGAGAGTGAGGTGGGGGATCTTCTCCTGAAGTCGATGACCATCTCCTTGGTCTTGATGGTGTTTTATTTAGAGTTTCTTGTCCCCTAGTGTGAAAATGTGTAGTCTGCTTTTGTAATCTACATTTTTACCAAATCTTTTTTGTTTAGTAACAGCTATGAACCTGAAACCTTTATTAAAGGGATCCCTAATTAATGGTAACATAACAATACATGAACTTTAATAAGAATTAAATAAAATGGTTTATTGTAATTTAAAAACATATAATACTGTTTTGAGTGGCAATATCTCTTTAGCCATACTTTGTATTCTTTAAATTAAAATTAAAATAACATTAGACATTCAACTCAAATGAAAACTCTAAAAGTTCATATTTTCCTTCATTTGAAAACAACACGCAAAATTTAGCTTAACTTTCCCCATTGTAAATAACCAAAAAGTTAAAGGTATATGTCCTTGCAACTCACTTGATAAAGTTCAAGATTCCAACTACCTTGGCTTGCTGAACTGACTTTAATTGTTTTCACTATATTTATCACTTAGGTTTTGGGTTTACACAGCAGAAAATATTTTCTTAGCTTAAAAAATTTAAGTTACTTTTTACGGTGTAATTATGTATTCATAAACTGATATTAGTCACTATTAACGTGCAAAGTTAGTTAACTAATATTGAAGACAGATTACCCTTAAACACCCTTTATTTTCTTGATAATTTCACCTGCTTATTTCATGTGGAGTGTCAATACATTTTTCTCAGGGAACGACTTGACAGATTCAGACTTCGTCCTCATCACAATTAGGAATGTTGTATAAGAATTTGAGCTTTTCTACTCCTGGTTACCACATGTGTTTTCAAGTAGAGTTTCTTGATTGTTTTCTTATTAAGCTGTGTCCCTCATGGTTTCTTTCAGTAATTACTTATCCTGCTGCAATTTCTTCACATTTTATTTAAGCTTTGTTGCAAATGGTATGGGATTAATATCTTTCTTCAAAATTCTGAACACCATCCTAGATTATGACAATGTAAAGACTATATTTTGAGAATGATTCAAAGTTACAAAAAGAATAGAAAATTGAGAAATTACATTAGTTTCCTGTTCAAGCATGAATAGAGCCTGTTGATTGGCAGTGCTGTACTGCACTGTACTGTGGGAATGTTTTTTAGTAGGAAGGACTGAAAAAATGATTTAGGATAAAGGAAAAAGGTGAATGCAGACATGCATAGAGATATCCTGGATTATAGCCTAGTACAAATCTTCTTCAACTCATACTTAATCAGTTGTTACATTTTCAATTGGACAACCTAGAGCACACAGCCACAATCTCAAGCAAGTAACTTTATGAATGCTCTGGAGTAGATAAGCCACGATCTAGACTGATTTGATTAAAGTTTTGAAAATAGCTGTGGACAGTTTTCTCAACTTGATAGAGCTTGAAATGTGTATAATTAGGGAAACATCGTAAAGATGTATGTGCTGGGTTGCATCTATTTACGTTATGTAACATATAGTGCAAAAAAAAACTTGCATCACTGTGAATAAAACATATTATTACACAAATATTCACAGCCTTTTTTTATTTATACTTTTCCATGTTAAGGGTACACTCCAACAACATAGTTAATATAGATGAAAAGGAAAAATAAACTTTTGTGTAGAAAAGAGTTAGGTGACAACTTAAATATAAATCCAATTTGTATTATGTATGCATTATCTATTATATAACAGTGTAAAGTGAGTTATCTGACCTCCGAAATTATGACCATATTTAGGATTCATGCAGAAGGAGTTTCTTGGCAGCATAAATTAAATATATATATATCTTTATCACGTTTAATTATTTTACCCTGAATGCTTGAAAAACAACCTGTATGTTATAAGACTAAATTAAATTGTTAAAAGACATGAATCGCAGTAGTTGAAAACTAACTTTATATTTCTATCATTATGTGGAAAATAAAAAATGATAATTACTAGAAAACTTAATTTTAAAATCAATAGAAAGTCATGTGTATTATGAAGAAATACATGAAAAATTTACATTTTTCTATTATTTGCTAAGATTTTTCTTAAACTGGACCCCACGGTGGCGCTATATAACAGGCTTGAGAAATTTATATTCCTTAGTCCCTTTGCGCTTAGTCTATTCAAACTATGCTCCTGTCTTGTCGAGGACAGTCACGGATTTCTTCAGGTGGTGAAGGATTTTGAGCTTAAATTGTTCTTTATATGATTCGTTCTTCATGCGGATTTAAATTCGTCAGCAATGATGAAGTCTATATTCGCCTTTGTTCTCTCTTGGGGATTTATTATATGCATTCTTTGGATCAACGTCGCCCATGGAGATATGAGCTATTCTTTCCAGGAGGAAATGAAACGCGGATCAGTTATTGGAAATATCGCCAAGGATCTCGGGCTGCAAATAGATGCGCTGTCCAAAAGAAGAGCCCGCATTGATACCGAGGAGACGGATAAACGTTACTGTGACATAAACCTGAAGAATGGGGAGCTGATCGTGGCCGAAAGAATCGACCGAGAGGAGCTGTGTGATGAAAAAGCTTCATGCATCTTAAAACAAGAGCTAGTTTTGGAAAACCCACTCGAGCTGCATCGGATCAGCCTCCATGTTCAAGATATTAATGATAACTCCCCGCAGTTCAACGAAAAGATGATCCGTCTTGAAATTCACGAGTTAACAGACAGGGGAGCTCGCTTTATTATCGAGGAGGCGCGCGATGAGGATGTAGGACAAAATTCAGTTCAGCAGTACAGCCTCGAAAAGAATGAAAATTTCATTTTAGCCGCTAAAGGAAACACTGTGGAGCTTGTTTTAGATAAAGAGCTTGATCGGGAAAAACAGAAGGAAATTAATTTACTCCTTACAGCTTTAGATGGTAACCTGACAACAGCCAGATGCATGTCTCGCTCCGCCCAGCTCCACTCACATACATCTGGGAACCCGCTCATTGAAAGTGATTTCCCCAACCGAATTTATGGTCTGTCCAATCAGGACGCAGGGTGGGTGTGTCCTGGAGTGGAGAAGCGACCGTGAGATTCCAACAACAATGGCGGCTCGCATTGAGGAAGCAAGCGTTAGCATTGATGCTGCTATTTCTTCTATGTTGTCCAATCTATCTGATATTGTTTAATTAAAAGAACATCAGAGAACGGCTTTGAAGGCTTTTGTTGGTGGAAACGATGTTTTCGCCCTTCTCCCGACCGGATTTGGAAAGAGCTTGATCTACCAAATGGCTCCTCCTCTCACAGCGTCACGGGTTAGCTTCGGTGTGAGTGGTTGAAATAGCACGTCAATAAAGATGACAGACAAGTGGCTTATCCAAT